AATTTAAACATCGTTCATTCTCAATATTGAGGAATACTAGGTTAAATTTGTATACTGCTTTACACATTTTGAATATTGTCACATCTGTTATATTAACTAAAGGTTACTAATAATCAGGTTAGAACCAAACAAAAAGGAACTGAGGGGAGGTAGGGCGGGAAGGGGAGGAAGAGGCAAAAGAATTTCTTTGGGATACTAGGTTAAAACTTACTAGGCGAACAGAAACTGTCCCTGCATAGGGGACATCAGTTGCACTATCAATTACAAAATTATACATACCAACTCTAGGCCAACATCACCAACTCTGAGTTATATTATTTAAGCAAGAGATTTTGTTTGTTTTCCCTGACTGAGCCTCAGATGCCTTATCTATATACCTGGGGATATCACCTACTATGCAGAGGTAAGGAAATATTAGAATGCAAGCACATTTTTAAGTGCCTAGCACAGTGCAGGAAGTAGTGAGGACTCAAATTTCCTTCTTTTGAAACACAACCCTAAAAACTATGAAATCTGGACAGCATATTTATTGAAAAGAACTCTATAGCGCATCCTTCTGTGAAGAATCCCACACAAAAGCAAATCACACACACCCTGTGTTATGGCATCTGGATTTGACATATACAATCCTACATAAAACTTCTCCAGTCAAAAATCAATATACATGACACACAAATAACATATAAAACACCTTCCAGTCACATAATAAATAAATGTAACATATTATGGTCTAAAACCATGATATAACTAGAGGAATGTGCTGGTCTGCTCTCATTACTGCTTTGCCTGTTTGGCTGCCATGAAATTCACCAAAGCTTGATGACAGAACTGGACGACAATGCTGTAACTAGAAGACTTTGATTCTTATTACTTTATCTCTGCGCCAGAAGAGTGGAAATTCATCAAGTCCGCAAATGGAGAGAAAAACAAGATAATGAAATGGTTTCCTCCTACCCCATACTCTTGCCCCACCCTAAGCTGATTTCTCCTCACTGGGTCTATCCCAGAGAGATTCTGGGAAGAGGAAGGAATACAAAGGTTGGAAGATGGTTTTACAAAATTAAGAGCACCCTAAGAGAAATGGATCTTTCATATATTCTCCTGTCCAAACTAAGTAAAATTTCACATGCCTGACCCTGTGCTGAATGCATCACATCGACTCTTATCCTTCACAATCCTGTGCAGTACGTATTAGCATCTCTCCCACTTTAAAGATGATGCAACTGAGGCTTAGAAAGATTGAGAAACTTGCCCAAGGTTGCACAGCTGGTAAGTGGCAGAGAGCCGAGTCTGGACTCCAAAATCCATATTATTTACCCACTACTACACTACTTATTATTGTAGTGTATGAAAGGGCATTTATTAGGTTCCAGACTCGGCTTCGCCCCTTGGGCAAATCACTTGACCTTGCTGAGCATTTGTCATCTGTAAATGAGGGCAATGACAGTTGCCCAGCCTTCTCTATACCATCCAAGTAATGCTGAGTTAAATGTGTGTGCAAACATACCATAAAAACTATGTGGCACCGTGTAAATGTAAGATTTTGTTCATTTGAGCCTAGGTTCCATATATCTTTATATTTCCAAATGGTTTAGTGACCTAAAAAAATAAGTTTAATAGTAGCTAGGTCATTTTTAACATTCCCAAGCAAAAATCTAGTTAGGTCATTTTTAATTTTCCCAAGCAAAAAAAAAAAAAAACCTTAGGCATTCTGGAAAAGGCAAAGCTATAGAGACAGTAAAAAAAAATCAGTGGTTGCTAGCAGTTTAGGAGAAGAGAGGGAGGAATGAATAGGGGTTTTTAGGGCAATGCATCTGTATGATGTTGTAATGGTGGATACATGTGTAAAACTCAGAATGTACAAAACCAACAATGAACCCTAACGTAAATTATGGACTTTAGTTAGTAATAATGTATTAACACTGGTCCATCAATTTTAAAAAACGTACCACACTAATGCAAGATGTAAATAATAGGGGAAAGGGGGATGTGTGAGGGAACTCTATAATTTATGTTCAATTTTTCTATAACCTGAAACTGCTCAAAAAAAATTAAGTCTATCGCTTTTTAAAAACTCATTCTTAAAAAAACGAGTTCTACATAGAGATTTAAGAAGTAATATGAATGAGCTTGGTGTTCTAAAAAGTGCCTGGAATATTTGACAACATCTATCCCATCTTTTTAGACCCATGTTGCCCAACAGCACTTTATGCAACGATGAAAATATTCTAGCTCTGCTCCAATACAGTCGCCACTGGCTACAGTGGTTAATTAACACTTGAACTGTGGCCAGTATGACTGAGAAATGGAATTTTTAATTTTATTTAATTTTAATATTTAAATAGCCACATGTGGCTAGTGGCTATCATATTAGATTGCACAGCTATAGATGATTCAAGGGACCCCTAGAAACGAACTGTATTAACTTTAGAATTTAAAAAGTTACCTCAAAAGACCATTCGAATGCATGTAGTTATGAAATAATGCCACAAGTAATAACCCAACAGGTCGAGTGACTTCAGTAGATGGTTAAAACAGCAGGAACTAATAAAGCCCATCTCCAAATGTTACTCACTTTAAGTCTCATAGTGTAACCAAAGAGTGACAAAACAGTCACTTTTCTTTTTAATTCCTTCAATATTTTCAAAACAACCCAATTAGTTAAACATCATTTCTGCTTCCTGAAAAATAGGGCAGAGGTCAAGTCAGAGTTAGGACTATTTTTTCAACTCAGTGACCCAGAGGAAAAAAAAATTAAAGGTCATAAGGAAATAAGAGTAATTTTTGCAAACATAAGATAGTCAATCTATTTTTTTAAATGAAAATTCAAAACACTATGACATGGATTTCAATTCCATGTCACAGTCAATTGGAAAGCAAAAGGAAAAAAATTGCCCAGAAAAGCAGCAGCAAAGAAGAAAGGTACATGAGGTAAGTAAACAAAAATAAGACACAGGACTATCCATATCCAGCTGTTAACAGGAGGGCTGCCTCAAAGAGTCATTACCTCTTATCTCAGTCGTTTAAAATGCGAGCTGATTAAACCTCAGTTCCCAATTCAGTGTTTTTGTCCTTATCCCAGTGGAATAAAAGGGAACTTATGTCCTCAATTGCAGTGGATTTTATCAGAGTCTTCCCCTGGGAGACCTATGAAATCAAACACTGAGATTGGCTCCCCACCCTCAGGGAATAAGTGTCCAAAGTGACAGTGAATCCCTAGAGTACATTCAGTCCACAGCTTCTTTCTCAGTCCTGCGAAATACTGAACCTTTCTTTTAAGAGTACAAAGAGAGGGAGAGAGAGGTAACTGAGAAGTAGTAACACCCTCATGCAGAGACGTGAAAATACCTGACCTCAGCAACAGGCCCCAAAAGCTAATTCTTGACACTCTGATCACATGTAATCCGAACCTTTGTTCTCCTTTTTCAAGTTCGTGAATCACATTAGAAAAATATTATTTCGTAATCTCATACAGGAGTGATTTTTAAGAGCATTCGAATGCATAATTAAGTAAGGCTGACCCTTGAACACCATTCGTTTGAACTGTGTGGGCTCACTTACACACGAATTTTTTTTCAATAAATACCTGCACTGTTTTCCATCCCAGGTTGGGAGTCCACCGATGCGGAGAGCTGCCAACTGTATGCATTGATCTTCATCATTTCTTATAGGGGACTTGAGCATCCCCCGATTTGGGTACCTGCGGGGTCCTGGAATCAATCCCCCTCGGATACCGAGGGATAGCTGTGTAGTTAAGTTTTGGGAGAGTCAAAAGTTATGTGGGGGGAGTTGCCCCTAACCTTCGCATTGTTCAAGGGTCAACGGTAATAGTAAACAGCCCTGAGTGATCAAGCAGGACGACGTCCAATGTTTCAAGATATTTAACTGCAAGGAAATAGAGAGGGGGTTTCCACCTTTCCAGCCCCTTTCCCCTCAGTTCTCTATTCCTGGGCCCTGAAAGCCCTGTTCTCCTTTCGTTGTGCAATCTTTTCGAACTCCACCCACTGACACCAGAACAAGTGGAATTCTCCCATTCTGAAGGTCTCGATTTTCCTGTACCCAGGGAAACACTGAAAACTTGATTTGAGTCAAGTAAGGCAAGGGGAACGGTCCAGCCTGCCTCCCAGATTAAGAGAGACCAAAGGACACGGTCGGGGAGGCGTTCAAGTTCATGCTCATGGGGGAAAAGAAAGGAAAGTAAAGGGGGCAAAATTAAAAAAAAAAAAAAAAAAGAGCAAGAAGCAAAAGGGCTGGATTGGGAAGACCAGCTATCACGCGATGCTGCTCCCAACTCTGCGGGACTCAGGTCCTCTAGCATCGCCTCTCCATCGCTGGTCCCACGTGCACTCAAGCCGGTGACGCCCAGAGACGACCCCCAGGGCCTGAGTCCCGGAAACTGAGCAGCCCTCCGGCCCCGCAGCGCCCGCCCGCGCAGTGACGGGGAGCGCAGGGAGAAGGGGGGCGCAGCGCAGCCCCGGCTCCCGCGCGGTTATCTTACTGCGCAACAGCCTCGCCCGCGCCGCCCGGGAGCATCACGCAGCGCTCCTTGTGCACCTGTCGGCGCGAGGAGGGGGACCCTGTGACGCCAGGTAGCCCCCCGACGGCGGCGCCCAGCGCAAGAAGCACTGGGAGCAAACGGAGAGGAGCGGAGACTGGGAGAGAGAACACCTGGCGCCCCGCGGCCCCGGCCGCACGTGGTTGTCACACCTGGCGCGCCCCCGCCTTGCACCCCTTCCCCCTCCCACCCGGTTGTGCCCCTTGACCTCCCGCCCCACTCCACCGCGTGCCCTCAAACCACAATTGTCACCCACTCCCACCCCATCCATCCTGGTCCCACTCCCCACAACCGGCTCCCACTGTCGTCACCCCCGGGAGAGAAGAGGGCCGGATGTTCGTCCCGTGGCTAAAGGTAACCCGGGAGAGTGAAGAGGTGGACCCCGAAAAAGCTACCCCGAGCATTCTCCGGGCCCAGCCACAACGCGGACGCCTCCAAGACTGACCTTCTGCCGCGGGCTGCGACGCCGTCCGCCCCGTCCGGCCTCAGTCGCCTCCTCGGCGCCGCCGCCTCTTCCCCGCGCTGCCTCTTCTACCCGCGTCGCCATGAGGTGACGGCAGCAGCCAAACAAGCGGCCCGACAAGGAGCACGGAACCTCGCCGGATCTTACTCCCCGCCCCTAAACCCCCACAGCCAATCGCCGCATGCCAGGCTACCCCACGTGACCGGAGGAGGTTGGCCCCCGAGGGGACGGAGCCGGATGGGGGTGGGGAGCATTGAAGCCGAGGCTGGGCTTCTGCAGGGCCGCAGAACCGACAGACCGCGCGAGTCTGCGCAGACAGGGAAAGGGACTCTGGAGTTGACTACAAGTCCCAGCAGGCTGCGCGGCGACGGCTCACAGGCCCGGATCGGGATTGGAGCGTAATGTGGCGTTACGGGACGGAGAGATTATCCGCCGTGCTGTGCGTGCAGCCTACCGGGACTTGTAGTTTTCTGAGGGTGGTGTACCGGTACCGGAACGTACTCCTAACTGTCCTGCGCAAAAAGTTTAGAGAGAAATGTTCCAGTGCTTGGGAGAGAGCGGGATCGGGGACGCGTTGTTTTTTGTTTTTGTTGCTCTTTTTCGGAATTGAGCCCGACTGATTTGAGGATAAGGGGAAATAATTCGTGACTTTCAAAGCGGAAGAGATGTAATGGCTTTCAGAATTTGAGGTTTTTGGCTCAGACACCTGTCCCAAACAAGTCCTGCAGCTCCACTGGAAATTTCAGCATCGTGTACCTGTCTCGAGCTCCTGTGGGTTTGGGGGCTCCGTCCTATTCACCTTGGCTGA